TGCTAACTTAAAACTAACATTAGAACAACAATCATATAAGCCAACCAGGCTACAATTATATAAGCCGACAAGGCTTTACATTTTCAATCTTTTCAATAACAAGTTGGGCAAGCCATTGCTTACCTGAGAAGTGGATTTTCGACGAAAATTGTGGAATTACACCTTTCGGAATTCCACCGTCTCAAATCATGAGCCTAGAATAAAAATTTAAATAAACTTAAAGATTTTAATCATAGAGTGAAAGAACGTGTGCCAATGTGGAAGTGCAAATTAAGAAATCGGCATAATTGACTAAAGATTTACACACTACTTAAGATCCTTTTATATTTGTGATGTGTCAGAAAATTGATTGTGTTCTTTATTTCTAAATAGTCATTATAATTTAACTTACACATCTTGAACGTGTGCCAGTGTGGAAGTAAAATTAAATTTAGGGCATTGCCACATTGTCGCTTTGCAAGAAGTTATTCAAATCAATTCCTTCAATTAAGTTATCAAATTCATTAACTTGAAAGGGCCTGAAAAGTGAAAGCTGAAGGTTATCCAAATCAATTTTTGGCTAGACTCTGGCTTCTGCTATACTTTTAAGGGCTTGAAAAGTGAAAGTTGAAATGGTTAATTTGGACAGGGACTATAGGGTAATACCGTGTAACCGACTAACCGTAATAGACTAATAGGAACTAAAGCCATTTTATCAACCAAAAATCAAATCTATTAAATTCTACAAATTAACAATCACATATACATATAATAAAGATAACCCAATTGATAAAATTCATCAAATCAATGGGAAAAGTTTAGAAACAAGCATAAGAAAGAAGAATAAGAAGTTGCTGGAGGTGAAGGCCAACGACGTATGGAGTGGACAGGCGGAGGTGGACTGCATTTGGCAAAGTGACTAGAGTTACGGAGACTAGACTTCGATGGTTTGACCGACGAGCAGCCACAAGCCGTGGGATTGAATTTTGGATTGTGGATTATTGGACATACAAGTTGGGTTGGTAAGGGTAAATGGGTTGTGGGCTATTCGTATGAGCCTAGCATTGTTTTGGGAAAAAAAATCTAGGGCAAAAATATGCTTCCTACAGTCTTGGGCCTAAGGCGCAGGCCTCATCAGCCTCGCCTCGGGACCGATTATGGATATAAGTAAAGGAAACTTCCAACTTTTCATTTAATCTGGTTCTTACTTTTCATTTTCTATATTTTCATGTCGATATTTTAATATTTAGTTATAAAGAGTAGCAAATCTCTTTTCTTGAATTCATAAGATTCTGTCAGAAGTATACTACTCAAGCAACCAAAAAAATCTCTCCTAAAATCATATGTTAATATTTATTTTATTTTATTTTATTTTATTTTTGCTTTTAAGCTCATAATTTTGGTTGTCTGTGTTTCGGTTGATAATTTTAAGTTTGCTTCCTTTTGTGATGTTAGAATATTTGGACAGGTATTAAAACTTATTTTAAAATTTCTCGTGTATTTTAATCTGTCAAACCAATACTTAAAAAGCATAAAAAATAATATTCCATTTTTCATATCATGAAAAAATTATAACTCTAATAATGGTTTTTTTTTTTTTTTTCCTTTGAAGATGATATTTTATTTCTACCTTCCTCCAACCCTTTTCGGATCCAAAAAAATTAATTTTACAAAATATATTCTCGAAAAATCTCAATCAAATAAGTGCATAATATACAAAAAAAAAAAAAAAAAAAAAAAAAAAAAAAAAAAAAAAAAAAAAAAAAAAAAAAAAAAACTACTTTAGCCTCTTTGTTTTATATAAATTGGCCCTTAACAAATTCTACTGGCTTATAATAGTCCTCGTGAAACCACTTGAACCAAATTTTTCTTGACTAACTAGATAATTTTGATTTTAATTACTATAAAGCAGGTTATAATAGAAAGAGTCAAAAGATTATTACACAATGCATCTCTCCTTGAGGACTAGCTAGAGCAAAAAATCCTAAACCAATTTAAAAAGAGAAGGAATAAGAAGGATCTACAAAAACCAAGGTAATTTTCAGCTTGATTGTCAAAATTTCTCGAGCGAGTACAATCCAAAAACATTTTTCGATTGTCGGATGTTAATTGGCCTTTGGCCAACATTGTCGAACGTTTTGGTACAAATTTTGTCATTTAGGGTTTCGTTTTTAGCGTTTTTCTGTTTTTAGCTATTTTAAAGTATTTTTGTCATTTTAGTAGTTTGTAAATTACACATTTGTTTTCTTAATTAATAGTATTTCTTTTCTTTTCTTTTCTTTTTTTGTTATTTGGTGGACTCCAATAATTCTCACCCCGTTCGTATGTTATGAACAAGAATATATTATTGTCACTCACGTTTTCGTCCTGTATCACTCCTGCCTCCATTTAATGAGTCTCTGAGAATTCAAGAAAACCAAATAATGGACTGCTAGAGTTGGTGGAGTCGAAGATGTAAAATGATAGGCTAATGAGATATAGAATTGGCAGTGATTCAGAGATTACGAAATTGTTTTTTTCTTTCCTGAGTTGGTTGCTCGATGGTACATCACCTGATGAGGCGTTTGAGGGTAAAACCTGAGCATTTGGTGGACATGAATGCGGAGGTTGAACAATAGGGTTCTTCTCGGGGGAGAACTTCGCATAACGTGTTAATTAGTAAACAGAAGAGAAGTAATTGTTTATAGAGTCTTGAAGTTTCATCTTAAAGAGTCAATCGTGTTAAAGAAGAGGAGCCTTTTGACTTTTACGTTGAGAGGTCTCTCGCGAGAAGAGATACACAAATATTGTAATCTGATAGCTTATTTAGATTGATAAATATAACATATTCATTTTATTGTCAAGCAATACAAAAGTTGAAGCAGTAACAAACACAAACAACATTGGCAAGTTATTCCAGTACATATATGGTTGCGAACCTAATAGCAACCTTTTATTCATGATATTATCAAGCATGCAAGTTGAGATTATAGATATATAATCTCAGCATTTACAGCAGCAAAAGCAACGAATCCCCAGCCTCTTCAAAAATTTTTGGTTTTTTTTTTTTTTTTTTTTTTTTTTTTTTCTTCTTCAAAAAATGGTTGTTTTAACTCGTTTTCAACCCACTTTAATACATACCAAATGAAAAACGAAATATTGCATTCTTAATATCATTTCTAAGCATTCATGGCCTAGTTTTTCGCTTCTTAATAGTGTACGAAATGATCAACCATAGCAAAAGATAAGATGTATTAAACTTTTGACCCCACAATCCAAAACGGCTAGGTCCACCCCTGCATAGAGAGAGAGAGTGGGAGAGAGAGAAAGAAGCTGTATTAGCTAAGTTTACCAACATTTGCATGCATGCTTAAATTATGTCATCAACTTTTATAAAATACGTGGTAGTGATAAGACTAAATAAATTTTGATGTCTTTTTCTTAGTTGAAGTGCTGTCAATTCTTTAATACCAATTACAATTCCAATTGGTAGAGGTCTTGACTTCATCTTCCTCTCTTGCTTGTAATTTTTCTTTGTTGAAGTGCTATCAAAAGCATATTTTGGACATATTTGATAATTTTATTTAAAAAAAAATTCTATATAAAAGAACTTTTAGAGGAAACTGTATAAATATAGCGTCCTCTAAAAGTTTTTTGAAGGAGAACTCTTTTAGAAACTAGTTTCAAACTATAATTAAGGTAGTTTCATCATGAAATTTTTCTACAAGAAATAGTCTTGACCGAAAGTTGAAAAAGACATTTATTTTGAGAAAAAAAAAATGAAATAGAGACTTCTTACCATTGGATGTGTTAGGATCTATGTTGTAATTGTCACTTCAATGAATAAAAAAGAACTTAATTTAACATGTCTAAAAGTCAAGATATGAAATACAATATTGTATAGTTGAGTTAGGTTAGGGTTTGAGCTTGGAAAATTGAAAACCTATTGGTCAAAGCCTGTATATACACGCAGAAGCACTGAAAGAAGGACGGCTGACTGCTGAAGATATGCATATAAACACACGGAAATTGGGGCGTCTGAATTTAATTATATATACGCACATGCATCTAGAGACAAAGCAGAAAAGAAGAGAGAAGAAGGGCAACCTTAGAAGAGTCCAACATTGCGGCTGTTGAAATCAATTAAATATAGAAATAGAAATGGCTGCAGCTTGAGGAAGAGAAATGAGGCTGTTTTTTGGGATGATATAAATATATTAGGAGGCATTTTAAAGAATGTCCAATTATAAGTGTTGGAGTTGAAAATTGTACTTTTTTTATAATCTTTGCAAAAATGTCCAATTTTTAGATCAAAATGTCTACTTTACCCTCATGAAAAGATTAATCAATTTTATATCACTTTGGCACAATTTTTAAGAAGAGCAAATAACTTCTACGAGAAGGCACAATAATGTTGCTATTACCTAGGTGAGTCCACTTGCTTATATTTTTAATTATATTTTAATCAATTATTCTAGAACAAATGAAGAAGAAGCAAAAATTTCATTACCATATACGAAGAAGTATATGATTCGAACTTGAAAGAAATTATTTTAAGAAATTTACTGCGGTGGAAATTTGAAGCTGATTAGGCTTTCATCATTTGTCGGTAGAAGGTATATTTCTTTGAACTCTATTTCTTCGAACTCTCATTTTTTTTATAAGTTTTATTTAGTAGTTGTTCTTGTATATGTTCAAATCTCAATTTTTTGATAAAATATTTTTTCCCTTGGACGAAGTTATCCTGAGTATATATTTTTCGTACCATTCATCTTAAATAACTTAGTTAGATAATATACTTCTATATTTAGAATATTATTTATGGTGGAATAAATTCTTGCAAAAATGGTGGTTGAAGT